TTATGAACATTGCTCAACATCATGAAAATTAAACCTTATTTTCAATAAGCAATCCTGAAAAATATTTGGGGGTGCTTAACTTTTTTCCAGGTGTATATAAATTTCCATTTGAAAGTTTCATGATTGTAAGCTCAGATGGCAACAAAACGTGGAAACTTTGCAGGAGGATGAATACTTTTGGAAGGCACTATGTATGGATAATTTCTTGAAAATAGACAATGTAATATATATATATACATAGTGTAAGTTATAATGGTGTACTTCTAAGGGAATTTATCTTATTGATAGTATTTGTTTAATTTCTAGAACAGTAGTGATGTTGACTTGGTTCTTCATGATCATGACAAATGGGGTAAAGGAGAAATCAAGAAATGCAAGGTTAGAAATACTTTGTCAGAATTTAAAAGCTTTTAGTTATATTTCTTAATAGTATAGATACATATTATGTTGTTGTTGGGCTTAGAATTCTTCTACAGTAGGTGTCCATGACTTGTTAGCGATAAATTCAACGATGAATAAACAGTACGCACTTCACTTGTTTTCAAAATAATATAAATATATATTCAGAACAAGTTAACATATGTACAATAAATTCTACAACACTATAGATATTATGGACATATAAGTACTATATATGTAGTTCTCTCCATCGTGTCAAGTATCCACTTAGGTCTATTCAATTACTTTAGAATTTCAGTTGACAAGCCAAACTATCTTCTCTATTTCTATCACACTGGTACTCTCTGTGATTCACTTACAGTTGTGGTGCAAGTTACCATAATCGTTTGGTCTTCTTTCTTTTGAAGATCCTCTGTTCCTTTTGTCAAAGTGCACTCAGGTTGATTCAATTACTTTAGAACCATGCTTTGACGAAATAAAATTATTTTTCTTATCTTCTTTTCTACTGCTAGTTTCACTCTAACATATTAAACGTTAGGTCTATCACTTCTACGGTAGTTAACTTCACACAAACTTTATTCTCTTTTGCTATTATCTGTCTGTCTGCTGCCACCCGCTCATCTCACGCTATTTATATCTTTATTACCTAATCATCTGTCCGCCTTCTATATTCTCAACGACAATATATTGCACATGACTTTCGATATTCTCAACATCAATGAATTATTAACAAAACTACTTTTAACTCTTATTATAATAAAAACTAAACAATAATAAAACATTCATTCAAAACTAAATTAATCAATAATATCTGAATGAAACAGTCTTTTATATCATGTCATACTTATTATGGTAATTAAAAATACTTAAGCATCTTTTTTTTAGAAAAGCTAGATTGTGGTAAAACGTAAAAATATCGGGGAAACAGTTTTTGGGTGATGAAGGATTGAAAATATATCACTTCATGCTCTTAACAATTAGCTTAAGAAAAGTTAAAAAAAAATTGCCAAAGAGAATCTCAAATTTTTTTTGTTATAGTAAGCTACAATTAATGTAGCTATAGGATTAGGTGTACTTTATAGGATTTAGCAGATTAGGAGTACAATATTAAATTTCTGCATGAACCTTGTTTGTTTTCTTTTTCTGTTTTACATTGCTACTTTTTATTCTCTTGCTACAAGTGTGGTTGATTCAACTAAGTTTGTGACCCAAAATAACACTCAGTTTCCATACTATAACTTTTAATATGTTTTGTGTATCTTCACAAAATTTGGCAAGTTGTCATTAAACATTACAAGTCTTTTTTAATCTGATTCTTTAATGAAGTATTTTTACTAAAAATATGTCAGACGTGTTGACTGCTTTGAGCACAAAGTGATTTTTATGTTAAAATTAAAAATATTCTTCTCCATCTTTAAGTTGTTATATTTCATTTTCCTATCTCTAAAGCCTCCTAAGTAAATATCAATTTTTTAGTAAAACTATATATTTTATCTGTTACTTTCTCTACCCTAACTCCATATATCCGTTTGGCTAATTTAACCAACCTCATAACCACCATAAAAAAATCTAAATTAACTATTTTTCTTTCTAGTGTCTTCAAATTGAAACATGAAATTATAATTGTTTATCTTAAAGCTTGTAAGAGTATACATCTGTTTATACTTAATTTTATTGCCCTTTGAACCATATCTAAATAATAATCCTGCCACAAATGTTGTAGCTCACATTAACATATGAAATTATGTAACACATGACCTGCTCATGATTATACCTAATGATTATTTTTTTTCACTGTCTTACTTAATATAACCTAAAAAGTTTTAATTTTTCGAATAATAAATACAGAACACACATGAAAAACAAGAAATATAATTTTTACCTAGATCCTCTTATCTTTTGGTGTCAACTGTTGATGAAACTTATGTCTACATTTTTATGGTACTACTACACTAAATAATTTTTATTTAATTAAATAATGCAACTAACAACACAGAATAATAGCATGCACAAAGCAAACAATGTCCTATAACTATCATAATTGTTCTGACTTTTTAACTATACAATTCAGCTAATCTTGTCAATGTGAACACCATGAGAAAAAGTTTTGAACTAGAGGCAAAATAGACAATTCTCTTTACAGAAAAAAATGTAATAAAAAGCTTTATTTGATAGATTAAAACTTTGGATTTCTGTTGGTTATAAATAGCATAGTTTAAAGCATCAGAGAGGATTGTTGGTAATTTTTGACATAAAAATTATGTTTTGCCCGAGTAATATATATATGTATATATATATTATAATGAATAATTTAAATTAAATTCCTTTCGGGGAGGGTTTGCTACATAAATGAGAGAAGACGGAAGACCTCATACTAGGGGAGATTGAGGATTTTTTTAAAAATATTTTCTTATAAAATTAATAACTTGAAACATATATATTAAAATTTGATTTATTAACTACTTTTGATGCCAGGTTTATTTGTATACAGCGATAATAAAGTAATTTCATTAAATTTTGAATATAACTATGTAAAGAGACATGACATTCACTTTGACTTGTTTATGATAAGAAGGTTCCTATATTTTAAGTCAACTGTCAAACTAACAGATTAAGGGGGAGATTGCTATTACTGCATCATTAAAGGTATCTTTTTAGTTGACTTTGAATCAATGGGAAAAAATATTATGGGAAAAGCTGTCTTTTATCGATTTTTTAAGAAACAGTAAGCTTAAAATTGTGGTATTATCTTATATTTTTTAATTTTTAGCTTTAGAGGCACTTTATATTTTCATCATTTGACAGATTAATTTTTTCCTAAGGTGTTATGCAATGTCACTTTAAATGTATCGTTATCCTACATACTCAAAATTTAATTTAGGAAGAAAATTATAATCAATTTGAATAAGTTTTGTTTCTGAAAGTAGTTTAGAAATATTATATAATCATTTAATAGTTATCTAGTTACATTTATTAGTAGCAAAGTTTAAACATGTTGTTTTGCTCTGTTTTTAGGAATATTATTTTGTTTTTCTCTAAAGGTCACTAGGACTTTTATGTTTCTATCAATAAACTATCTAGAATTTCAAAAAATTTACATAGTTTCAATTGTCTCAAGGCAGTATAAGCTGATTGATGGTTTTACTGGTTGAGCTCATATGTACATTACCTCCAACCTGGTTCTTGACAAATAAGGTAATATTTAAGCTTTAAAAATAGATATACGCTCCATCTAAAACCCATTCTAAAGAGGAGGAGATAAGCTTCAAACAGTCTAAACAACATATCAATCCATCACTGCATTTTTCTACTTTTATAATTCTATACTTGAAAGTTGAACACAGTGTTTAGAAATAGTTCCAACTATTTAGAGGCATGCAATATTTCTGTAACAGTTTTTTTGTGAAATTTTCTTGTCTTGTTGCTGGTACTAGATATATGGCTATTTAATAGCTCCAGAAATAGTTTCTGTAAAAGGAATTCAGATACAGTATTTTGGGTTAACACGTATGGTGGCATTAAGAGGCCATTATTTGTCATACAGAATGTTTTATTTTTAGTGGGTTAGGTAACTGCTTCAGTGAGCAAAAAAAATATATTAAAGAAAATATACCTAAAACTAAAGATGAATAAAAAACAAGTGCAAAGTGATTGAATATGTGAAATGAACTTTCTAATCAGTAATATGAAAAAAATAATTCTAGTTTGAGTTGTTTATATTTTGATAAGTTTTTACATTCTATTTCAGTGATCATAAGTAAATTATATATGATGTCATGAAAATAAAGGTCCCTCCAATGGCTCAGAGGTGAGCCTGCAGGCTTACAACACTAACATTTGGGTTTTGATGCCTGTGGCAGGCAGAGAACAGATAGTCCATTGTGTAGATCTCTGCTTAACAAGAAACAAACCATTAAAATAAAGATGTAGAATTTGTAGTTTATTAAAAAACTATTGGTTATACTTATAAGGTTAATAACAGAAAGAAATAGGAAAGCCAATAAAATTTGAAACATTTTCCTTTGATATTATTTAACAAGTTTCATCAACTTTATGGAATTTGATTTAATCCTACTATAATTTGAGAGAAATACGGTTGTTTGTCTTCTATCTCCTCCTAAACTTTTGCATTTAAACCTGTCTTATGTAGTTTAAATCATCTGGGAATGATATGTGAAGAAGTAGCTATCTTTCTTTGAAAATGCATAGGTTTCATAGTTCAAGTGCTTGCTAAATATAGGTCAGCCAATGAGGGATGGCCACATGGGTTCTGATGGGATTTCTCCAGTTTCATCTTTCAATACATTGATTATACATAGTCTATGGACCTTCTGTTATTACTGGCATATTTAGGACCAAAACTTTTTATATTCATAACTGGTTAAACATTAATTTTACATTTCCATCAGTTATTTGAGGTATTTCTTTTTTGAATATTGTTTGTTCATACTTTCATGATAGACACTTGTATTAAAGTGAAATGATTTTAAGTCTCATGCTACTTATTGCTTTTTCATAAAAAGAAAAAACTAAAATAGAAAATAAAGTGTTATTTAAATAATAAAGCCCAGTAGACATGAATAATTTTATTCTTACGTACTTTTAATCTTTATATTGCCACTGGCATATTCTAGCAAAAAACTTTCATGTTCCTTTCACCATGCGTCACATGGGTACATCTGCTAGTAGTTTTAGTTTTGATTTTAAAAACTGAGTGTACTGAACAAAAACACTCTGGCTCCACCTGCATTGAAATAATTAAATCCAAATAGTAAGCAAGCCCTATGGTACAACTGGTAGAAAGAAAGTACAATTAACACAATGCAACATTTTTGGTGTTTGTATGAGTCCCAATAAACTTGATTTTATGAGTGATTTAGGTTGTGAAATTGGTTTTTTGCCAAAGAAATGTAACAGAAAGCTTATAAAAACTGGAGTATTTCTGGCCAATGAGCGAAACTGCCAATTATGTACTATAGCCTATTTTTTAGCTTATTTTTTCTTTAAAAAATGATGTGGAAGGCCCCTAACTTTTTAAGATATAATTGGTGATTTTTTTCACCAAAAACTTCTGTTGTTGTTGTTTTTTTTTATACACACACATACACACAAAAGTTTAGCATTTAATCCTAACCATTCTTGATTTATAGCAGATATACATCATTTTGGATTGAGTGAGACTCCTCAGCAGTGAGCTTGCCCAGCTATTGCTCTGAGGTTGCATGGTTCTTTCTCCATTACCACCCAAAAAAAAATTGAGCTTCATACTTTTTGGCCATTGGTGTATTATGAGAGTGACAGTCAAGTCCCACTATTTAATTAGAACTAGCTGCCTTCCCTCTAGTCTATCACTTCAAAATATGGAACAGCTAGTGCATATAATCCTTGAGTAGCATTTTGCAAAATTTGAAAACAGCATTATTTTAAACATCGCTTCTGTTATTGAGTAAAAACTGAAATACTCCACAGCAAACATTCTTAAACTGCTTGATTACCTGTGTCTTTTAAACTTTATCTGTAGAACCTTTTCTTAAAGGAGATAGAAATTTTACCTTTGCTAGTACTATTTTTTCCTGTTAAATTGACCCTTATGATAACGTACAAGTCAATTTTATTGCCCTTTTAATTACATTAGGTACAAAAAACTTGTATGCTACTTGCTTATAGTTATAACACACTTTTAATTCTAGAATGATGGGAATGTGTGAATCAGTTTCTTTCTCCTAAATCACTGTCTTTAATTTTGTTTTTTAGCTATATACTTTATGAATGTTCAGTATGAAAGTAATTATTATAGTTCGATGACGAGAAACCCACTTTGAGACTAATAATGCTTGGAGGTGGCTTGAATGGATAAGGAAGAAAAACTTTAATATAAGTTTAACAACAGCAAATGTACAATGTTTGCGACAAAGTTTTGTCATCATCAGATACCAAGCCAGAAATTGATCTCAAATCAGCAAAAGTGAGGCTTGAAATAAACAAAAATCATATCATGAAGAAATCTGTGTCTGTATATCTGTAAAAAATTCAGTTCCAAGTGAAGAATACAATGTACGTTTATATATACACACACACACACACACACACACACACACACATATATATAAGAAAACTTAACTCTTAAATATGCATATTGAATACCACTTACTTCAAAAGATTTGTGTTCTTATATGGATGAGATGATTGTTTTTAAGTTGGTAGATGAAAAGTTGAATTAGAGATGGCTAATGCTGATAGCCATTGTGTAGACTGCGTGAGATTCAAAGTTCTGAAATAATGTCAAAAATGAGGATATGTTGATTTTTAGTGATGCTTTCTGTATCTTGTTTGAGATAAACCCGAATCTCAATTAATTACTAAGTTGTATATAAAAACGGTCAAAGGGGGAACTGATTTCTAGTTTGAATGTATTGAAAATGTTAAGAAAAGTGTAAAACTTGAATAGTCACTTTGGAATAAAGACAACAAAAATGGCTGAATAAGTATATTAATTTCTTGTACAACAGTTATACACTCATCAGATTATGCAATACGTTTCTGTTTAATTTATTTACAATAAATATCATGTAATGCTCGGAGACAGCTTGAATGGATAATGAAGAAAAACTTTAATATAAGTTGAACATAACAGCAAATGTACAATGTTTCGACAAGATTTTGTCATCATCAGGTACAAGTGGTTTACACTGACACAGATATATATATATATACACACACACACACACACACACACACACACACACACACACACACACACACACAC